TAACCCTAACCTGGGATTAACCCTGACCCTGCCCTACTGCCGGGCAATCCAGCGTCCCTTGGCATGGCACCGCTCATTAGCACCGCTCATTAGCACCGCTCATTAACACCGCTCATCAGCATCACCTCCGAGGAGCCGGGAGAGCAGCAGCCCCTGGAGCTGGGAGAAGCCACTCCCAGGACCTGCCTCTCTGCCACGGGGAAACTATTTAGGGTGGAGGAGCAGGGGAGGGCTCCAGACGCTGGAGGTGTCCGCTCTGGGCCAACTCCAGCCGCATTCTTGCCTTTGCTATTTCTATTTTTTTTTTAATTTTTTCCTTTTTTTTTTTCTTTTTTTTTAAAAATCCAAATGATGCAGAGATGAGCCAGGCCAGGCCTCGCTATGCCATCGAACGTGCTGCCTACTCTGTCAGCCTCTTCGACGAGGAGTTTGAGAAGAAAACCAGAGCTTACCCCGTCGGGGAGAAACTGAGAAACCTTTTCAGGTAACAGGGACTGCTTATATTATCATACCTCTCCAATTCCTGACTAAATCTGGAATTGGAGGGGTGTAATTCAGACTTGGGAATCCAGATCACATTTTTATCGTGGGGAATAAAAATGTGCTCTTCAGGTGTTTGATGGATGCAAGGTATGGGAGAAATGCAAATTGGGCTGAAGAAAATGAAATTGGTGGCTCTTTTCTCAGCAGAACTGGGTGCATTTGGGATTTGGGATCCTGCTTCCCTGTTTTTTTAATAACGGGAAAAGCACAATTGGCGATGTAGGCATGTGTGGATTATTTTATTATGTTTTCCAGCTGAGATTTCCTTTTCTCAGCTGTCTGATTGAAACCGATACCACCTTAAAGAAAGGCTAATAATATGTAAGCAAAGGTTAATAACCCTGCTGATGAGTTCCTTGGAAATCTATCTCCATTCCTCAGAAGAAGGAAGGAAATAATAGAGAAAAGAGAGGGCTCAGAATCTGTTGAGGGAGAAAGGCTGAGACATTCCTGGGCAGATCCTTCCTTATTTCCAGTTCTCCTTTCATTTTCCCATTCTCCACCTTTCAATTCTGCTTTCATTTTTTTTTTTTTATCTCCCTTCCAGATGTTCCGCCTCCAGGTTCAGGCTCACCCTCTTCCGCCTGTTCCCCATCCTGGGCTGGCTCCCCAGGTACAGGATCAAGGATTACGTCCTGCCTGACGTCCTCGGGGGGCTCAGTGCGGGGACCATCCAGGTGCCACAAGGTCAGTGGGTGTCCAGGAGGGAGTGACAGCTCCAGCAAAGCTCTGCTGG